AAAAGTAGTAAAAAATAAAACATGTAAAAAGAATCTAGCTCTTTACTGTGTAAGCTCGAGAACAGCTTTCTGACCAAAAGTCCATGAAGTGCGCTCAACAGGATCACCAGGAGCTTTTGATGTATCCTAAACCACTCATACATAGAGAGAGAAATCAACTAAAATGTTATAAAACTAGGACAACAATAACTGGGAACTGGAGACATCCAATGTCCACCATAGCACCAAAGAATTTTAACCTTGAGGTGTGGACTAATCCCTGAAAACTCCTACTAACTTTCACAGTTACTAAAAAACATAAAGTTTGATTCTGTGTAAAAGGATTAAGGGTCTAACTATAATATGTCTGTTACATTGAAGAGTGGTTTTCAATGTATTTTGCTTTTGGAGGGAAATGCAAGACAATAAAATATCAGGGGTAGACTATGGATATTAAATTGATTATTATGAAATATGTGTGTTAACTGATAAATTTACCTCATATCCCAAAAAGTATAGGGTAAACTTCATCTCAGGAAAATCCAACCGTTTGAGCAAGCTGTGGACCATTAAAAAACAAAGGCAATTGGGTTGACCCTCAATCAAACTGGTGTTCGGTATACAAACCACAAGAATACTAGAAACTTACATGAACGTTTGTGCCATCTCAATCTCATAGAAATTTTTTGCACATAAATTTAGTGTAGCTTCATTTTAAGAGGAAAAAGACTAAGGAAAAAATTGAACATAAAGAAACTGAAGTTTGCCAGGAAATTCCCATTCTTCGATATGTATAGGGCTAAGTTATTCTCCATCTGTTTAAATCTATTATATCCATCTTCTAAAGGTTTTTTGCAAAGATTAAGAAAGTCATTTATATATGTATTTATACCTAATGACTATTTTACCATTTTCTATCATTATTGCCCATATAACTAATCAGTTACACAAAGCTCAAAGTTGCATTTATAAAACAACTTGAATGTATAGTTGTTTCCTAAATCCCAACTTTCTTCCACATTAAGGAGATTACTTCAATAAACTAGATGAAACTAGACCAACACTTCCCTGCATAATCTTTATTTCAAGTAACCATTTTTTTCTTTCTGCAAATCAGAGCCATGAAATTTGAGCAAGGAATTTATCAAAGCATTTCGCAATCCATAAAATCATGATGATCTTAATTATAAACTCATGGCAAATAAAAACTCTCCAAAGCGATCCTATGATTGGCAATACTAAACAGGACATGCCCATAATCCTAATAATAGACTTTAATCTTTTTAGCTCTGTTTCTTTCAGAAGAAATTAAGGTAAGAAGACTTACGACATGCCCATAATCCTAGAGTAGAAATCGAGGCTGACTTTTGGGTCTTTTACCCGAAGCATCTGAAATTGCAGAATCACACATGTATCAGCCAAGCGATCTATATGACTTCAACAATCAAGACAGACGAATCCAGAAACTTTCCACTCAGACTCAAGACCCAACATTTAAAGCAAGAACTTGGCTCAACAACTAATTAAAAAGAAAAAAAAAATATTTCACATGTATAATAAAAGCTCAATTAGTTTTCAGCTCGATTAAAAGCTCATTTCATCTCGAGTGATAGAGTTCGGTTCAATTTAAGAATCGGGCCGAATATAAAAAAAGTTACAGAAACTTCAATTGAGATTCAATTAAACTCGAGGGTACTCTATTACTCTCGACCAAATCGCTTTTACGACATAGCCCTATTTGGGTCCTACAAAATGATTTCCTTTACACAGTTTAGAACAGTGGCAGCAGCAATTAGAATAACCAGAATCCATAAAATAAAGATCGATTCTGAAAGCTCACAGTTTGCTGCAAGAAATAGCCTTTGGTGGCCTCATCCGGCGAAGTTTGGAGACCTGGGTTGTTGTCGGCGGACTCTTTAGATGCCATGAAACTGTGAGTTAATGCAATCTTCTGGAGAAAAAGTACAAAGAAAATAAGAGCCCAAAGATTATAAAACAAGAAGCCTGTGCAAAATGCAGCGGAAGTAATTATAGTGAGTGTTACCAATGAAAATAAAAGTTAACTAGTTGATGCACGGTGCAACTAGGCGACCCCAACAAGCCTGTACTCAGGCCCAGAACCGAGCCCATAATTTGACCGGGCCATTTCAGAGCTGCATGGACACAATTTTTAACTCGGTGGGCTGGCCCAGAACCGGCCCTAGGGACGGCTTGCGTTTTTTTAGTTTTTTTATTTTATTTTCTGGGTTAGGCCGTTAGATCCTTTTGACGGTTGGAAATTTAATGATCGCCAGAGTGTCAAATTAAAGTGGATTTAACTGAATCATCTTAATAGTCTCGATTACCGAACTTGTATCGAAAAATAAAATTTTCAAACCAAACAGACCATTTTTTATAGGATTTTGGAGATTTAATTTTAGTGATATTAGTACATCATGGAGACTTAGGGTGTGACAAGATATGAATTTGATTTTTTTAAAATTTTTTAACTATATTTAATTTTAAAAAAATAGTATGATTAGTTAGTAGTGGGAATTTACGTTCAAATTAAAATTTTATTTAATTTAAATTATTAAAATTTGAAGGGGTAAAATTTGATTTGATATAAAAAATATGAGAAAAATGATTGGAAGTGATGATTAGTTAAAATTATTCAAGTAAATGAATAATTAATTAAAGTTAATGTGAGGTGTAGTAATGATGAATTAATTAATATTATTAAATTATATTAATATTAAAAATAGTAAAATTGAATTAAAATTCTTAAATTTGAGTTTTGATTATTATTATTAATTTTTTTTTTCAGTTTATAACCGATATCCAAACCGTACTCATGCTCCCCATGCTACTCCACTCGCGCTTAATTACTACCAGCTACACCAATCTTTCCTCCCACCTTGCCTGTAAATCGTGCATAAAAAATCGTGCAAAATCGTTCATCAACTGTGAGAACATAAAAATTCAAAGAAATAAAAAATGGAGAAATCGGGCTATGGCCGCGACGGCGTGTACAGATCCTTGAGGCCGCCGTTGTTCGCCCCGAAAGACCCAAACCTCTCCATGGTCTCCTTTCTCTTCAGAAACGCCTCCTCTTTCCCCCACAAACGCGCCCTCATTGATTCACACACCGGCGAGACCTTAACTTTCGCCCAGCTCAAATCCGCCGTCTCCAAAGTCGCCCACGGCTTGCTCCAGCTGGGCATCAGCAAGAACGACGTCGTCCTGATCTTTTCCCCCAACTCGATTCAGTTCCCCATCTGCTTCTTGGGGATCGTCGCCGTCGGAGCTATTGCCACCACAGTAAATCCTATGTACACCGTCTCTGAATTATCTAAACAGGTACACGATTCCACGGCCAGGCTCATCATCACCGTCGAGGATTTGCTACTCAAGGTTAAGGATTTCAGCCTGCCAGTTGTTCTACTAAATTCCGCATCGAAATCGAGTTCGCCTGTTGGGAAAATCCCATCGATAACCCTATTCACCGAGCTCGTGAATAACGGAGGGTCTGTAAATTTAGACAGTAATTTTGGTAAAATCAAGCAAGATGATGCTGCTGCATTGTTGTACTCTTCGGGGACCACGGGCACGAGCAAAGGCGTCATACTTACTCATGGAAACTTCATTTCCGGCGCATTAATGGTGACCTCCGATCAAGAATCCGCAGGGGAATCGGATAATGTTTTCCTTTGTTTCCTGCCGATGTTCCACGTGTTTGGTCTGGCTGTGATCCTGTACTCGCAGCTGCAGCGGGGCAATGCTGTGATCTCTATGTCGAGATTTGATCTTGAGTTGATCTTGAAAATGGTGGAGAAATACAGAGTTACACATATGTGGGTCGTGCCGCCTATTGTTTTGGGCTTGGCCAAAAGTCCGGTGGTTAAAAATTATGATCTTTCGTCTTTGAAGCAGATTGGGTCTGGAGCTGCCCCGCTAGGGAGGGAGTTGATGCAGGAGTGTGCCAAGAATTTTCCACGGGCCGTTGTTAATCAGGTTGGTTTGTCTCATCACCTGACTCTCAAGTTTAATCACATCAATCATGAATTGTTAAAGTTTGTTTTTTAATTGGCATGAATTGCTTTATAGTAGTGTAACTTGTGCATTTACATTGTGGAGTGATCCCCTTACTATATTGTGTGTGGTGTTTATGCAGTGATGAATATATAAATATCACTATTTCCACAGACCCTTCATTATGCAGTTGTGAAGTCTTTAATGTGATTAAATTTATGTTTCTTCTGGGCAACTACAATGTGTCTGATCACATTGAACCATAAGATACATATATAGTTACGCAAATAACTTTGTTGGCAGCCTAAATGTCTAGGCTATTGAATTAAAGATGTAGAGTGGTCCTCATGCTATAGCTTCAATGGTGGTTAGGAAAAGCTAGTCTAAGTACCCTAGAGTGAGTATAGCCGTGATCAATGATCATGCAGAGTTGTTGTGCGGAACAGATATACATCACAGACAGTGGTAAATTTTAATAAGCGATAAAAAGAGCAAATAACATAAAATGGGAAGTATATTATAGTGGTATTTGCATTTATTGAGAATATGTTACAGTAGTTTTTTTTTGGTACAATGAACCTTCCGGTTTCCGAATCCCCGAGAGAACCGACTAATATTTATCAATTAATTAGATAAAAAAATATTGAAATTATTGTTATTATAACTGTATATGGTATTTTAAGGGATTTGGTTATGCTATTAAAAGTAATGAATTAATTTTAATAAAAAATCGCTTAAGGAGTTGGAAAAAAAAAGATTTAAATAAATAATTTGAAAAAAGCTTTAGAATATAATTTTTTATAGGTATAGTTTCATACTGGGTATGTTGTTGTTGTTGTATAATTTCATATACTATATAGTATGAATTTATGATTACTTAGTAGTAGTTATTTTGTAATAAAATATATAAAAAACATAATTATTGATTGTTACATACTGTAACGACTTCTTTCTAAAATTAGCTAAAAAATGAGCGGAAAAAATATGAATTTTGTAACCGATTCTTAGCCTACAATTATAGATGAATGGATTGAGGAAGTCATTGAAATAACACAATTATCATGGCCAACAATGTAGATACTTTGGTATATATTTCATCCAAAATATGATTCATATAATTAGTTTCTTGTAATTTTCACTAGTGTGCATCCATGCGATGTACGGATGTGAATAAACAAAATATTATTTTATGTATTCCGTTATTCTACTTTGTTATAATATATTTATATTACATTAGAGTTAAACAACATTTCACGATCTTCATTGGCAATATCTAAGAAATGATTAATTAATAATTATTTACTTGATTATCAGCAATTAATGCAATATCACATTATCGTACAACCTTATTTAATTAGTATATATTTACCATGCCTTTTAAGATTATTTAACAAAAAATAATAATGAATGATTTGACGAAAAAAATAATTTAAGAAAAATGAATTTTATTAAAAATTACATCTCTTATATTTGGAAGTTCAACTGTATGGCCCGAATTATTCTCAAATATTTTATTTTGGTTTGAAAATTAATTTTTAAAATTTTTCGTAATATGTTAGTAGATTTTTTGAAAATTACATAATATTTTAAAATTATATATAATATTTTTATTTAATTATTTGATCTCATTTTTCCATTTCTTTCCTTCTGTTATAAATAGTTAATACATGTGAAAGTATTGTAAATTCATTTTCTAATTACATTTATGTGTTATTGTTCTCACCGGGCCAGTTTCCAGTTTTTAGAATCCAGAAAACCATGATTAAGATGGTCAAAACTTTGAATATCTAACATATAGTGATGTTGAATGAAAAAAATGTTTAGTATCAAACAATGATGTGTTGTAATGAGTAATGACACAACTATATGAACTCTGTGTAAAACTCGTTTCAATTTTCTGTAGATAATTTTATTACCTATTTCAGGTAATTAATTGCTACAATTTGATTGTATTAGTTACTTGCACTTTATAGCCTATAAGTTTAGGTGGGAAAATTAACTCACATAATATACAGCTTTTAGACTTTGTTTGGTTTATTATATATTTAGATATAAATACTGTGGGACATAACCTAATAACCTATCATATGCTTCAAATCATGTGATATTTGACTTGTACATAATGAGTTTCTGAACATATATGTATCATATGTAGGAATTCAGGATGATTGTCATTTTACCGGTTAAGTTTGATGAATATTATGGAGTATGTTTTAATGATTTTTTTTTTCTTTTGAAAAAATAATAGAATAAAAAACAACATTTGGTGAAGTTTATTATGATGGGTAATAACCAAATATTTTTATTTCAAATAAGCAATGAGCCAAATTTGATATATTTTTATTTGGATATTTTATGTCCAACAGTGTTTTTTTACCCAAACCGCCCAATGGGTCGGGCCTGGGACCCAATCGACCCGGATCCTGGTGGGTCCTTCGAACTGGGTAACAAGCAACCTGGTCAAAGAAACAACTTTGTCAACCACCCAAATGACCTATACATTGACCCGGACGCATCAACCCAAATTGATTCAACCATTTTATAATTTTCTACAATAATATTTTTTGTTTTAAAAATAAAATTATTTATATGTTTATGTGGTAATATTTATGGTGTGATACAATATTATTAAAACTTTGGGAAATAAAATTTACATATATAAAAGTAATTGTTGTTATTTTTATATAAAATTAGTATATATAAATTGAATTTTTTTTAGAAATAAGTACCCGGTTCAATAATTAACCCGATGATTCGACGGTTGCACTAGTGATCGAGAGGCCAGCACGGGTTATTTACGAGGCCAAATTTAAAAACATATTAATTCAGACAATTCCATCATAAAAGTAATGGTGGAAAATATATGCCAATGTTGGGTGTAACTTATGTTTGTTTTAAGAATGTGAATAAAATCTCGTTAAATCATCTATAGGAATATGAGGGGAATCTTGTTCACTTCATAAAAATTAGCTTAATTTAGACAAATCCTCATTTAAGCTGCAATACGTTGGTTCTGTTCAACAGTACAATAAGGTGGCCAGCATCTAAGACATGATATATACAGTGAGTACTCTATAATACTTGCTGGCAATTTTTAGTTTGAGCGGCCACTTGATTTGACTAACTGAGGCTTTTTTCAATTGATCCACTTTTTGAGTTTTATGTGTTGTGTTTTGACGAAGAATATGGTTTCATTCAGGGTTATGGAATGACTGAAACCTGTGGCATTGTCTCTATAGAGAATCCATACGCAGGCCCTCGACATACTGGTTCGGCTGGATTACTTGTTCCAGGAGTCGAGAGTCAAATAGTTAGTGTTGATAAATTAAAGCCTCTTCCTCCAGGCCAACTGGGAGAAATATGGGTGCGAGGGCCCAATATGATGAAAGGTAAGAATGTCAGATTTGATTGTAGATATTTAATGTTGCATGTGTACACATACCTACATTCAGAAAGAGCGCCACTACCTTCACTTAAGTGTCTTGCTAAATAGTGAAAACGTGAAAGGGAAATATTAGTTGGTAAAATCAAGTATAGTCGTAGATAGCAAATGCAATAGTGTGAATCATGTTACGTTTCTTCCTTTATACACGAATAAGTTTTATGTGTGTATTTCAGGAAAGTGGGTTTATGAAACTGCTCGCTGCAACTGTTAATGCAGTTTGTTAATAGCAATGAAATTTTATGTTTGATATGAACAACAACAACAACATAGCCTTTAGTCCCAAGCAAGTCGGGGTAGGCTAGAGATGAAACCCAAGAGAAACACAAAAAGACTCGAACCGAAAGGAAGAGATCGCGAAAAGAGAGAAAAAAAAAAAAAGAGAGAGAGGAAGGAGCAAAAGTCACGGTTCTGGCACGTTGATAGCGAGCGTCCAAGCGCTCCTATCCACCGCTAAATCCTTGGAGATATTCCAATCTTTAAGGTCTCTCTTAACCGACTCTTCCCAAGTGAGTTTAGGCCGACCTCTACCTCTCTTAACATAATGTTTGATATGAAGATCGGTTTTATTTTATATCGGTCTTCCTATTTTACATTTAAGGGGCAATTTATTAGGAACAAACTGAGGCAGTGAATTGCTAAAGATGAGATGCTAGCAGATATAAAATATGTAATCCATTTTGGCAAACCAATTAGACGTTGCTATTTTTTGACAAGGCAGGTTATAAAAAATTTTATGGAGGAATTTGTCTCTGAAATTGATGATTTTGTCATTAATTGATTGCGGATGGTTTGCTGCAACAACTTTTTAATAGTTATAGTGAGGTTGACGGGAAAGGGAGTCTAAATTCCTAATTAACTGCAACGTGCATGGATCAAATCCTGTAAAGGGTAAGGGGTATCACTTGAGCTACAAAGCTCGTGGTTGGATGGTTTGTTGCATCTAAATAGTGCCTTACAAAACCATCAAGAATGTAAAATGCTAACATATTAAAATTCCAAAGACTGACTTTTATGGAATGTTTTTAACCCTGCAAAATGAAGAAAAAAATAATGAAAAAGTGACAACTCTAGTAGACAAGCAACATGAATTATGCAACAGATTTCTAACGTTTTCAGTTCTCATCTTCTCTGGATGTGATTTCCAACTTATTCTTCGCTTTTCTTTAAAACCTTGAATATTTAATGCAATGATTTAGGTTGATAAAAGGCCATTGCCCTTGCTTTATTATTATATTGTGGGTTATAATCCTCGTTTAGTTTTATTTTATTGTTATGTGGTGTGCTGTCAGGTTATTTCAACAATCCAAAAGCTACTATGCAGACAATAGATAAGCAGGGATGGGTGCATACTGGGGATCTTGGATATTTTGATGAAGAAGGTCAGCTATTTGTCGTCGACCGTATTAAAGAGCTCATTAAGTACAAAGGTTTTCAGGTAGTTACCCCCTGTGAATAATGGTTGAGGTATTCCCTCCATTATGAAATTTTTACCCACAGAGAAATGTATGTTAGACAATACATCTTTTTTTCCCCCCAATTTTCTCCCTTTAAAAGGTTTTAAATTCTTTTCATGGGGGCTTTTGCTTATATGTCACTTGGTTCCTGCAGTGTTATATGAGGATGGCCGATGGCAGCTGGTTATGTAGTATGTTCTCCTAGTATATTGTTATTTTTAGTTAAATAGGATACATGCTTGTTTTTAATTTATTTATATGGAAAACTTTTGCCCATTTATTCTTACTCAACAGGTTGCACCAGCAGAGCTAGAAGGACTGCTTGTGTCCCACCCTGAAATATCAGATGCTGTTGTTATCCCGTAAGACAAGTAGTCGAATTCCCAGTGTTGTTTTCTGTTAAGACTTCCAAGCATACATTTTACAACTTTTTTTCTTTTTCTTTTACATAAACTGTTGAGTATTTCTTGTTTTCATAGGTTTCCTGATGCTGAAGCTGGTGAAGTCCCAATTGCTTATGTTGTCAAGGCTCCTAATAGCTCACTCACTGAGGAGGATATCAAGAAGTTTATAGCAGACCAAGTATGATTTTTACTAAAAAGAATCATACCTTTTTTTTTTTTTTTAAAGATTTGGAATAGTGCACATGAAGTTGTGTGTATGTTTTTGGTAATAACACAAAAGCAACATTTCAGGTGGCGCCCTACAAAAGACTGAGGAGGGTAACATTCATAAATACTGTCCCAAAATCAGCATCGGGCAAAATACTCAGAAGAGAGCTCATCGACAAGATCCGTTCAAAATTGTAACTTCATGTGGCTCCAGTTGTTATACCATTTTACTGTATATCGCTTTGTTACACCTAAAAACCGGGTGCGCAGCCACATTGTGGATACCTGAATAATGGTGTTTAAATAAAATGAAACTCCCAACTTTATCAACCATTTTTGCTCCACAAGTGTTGCAGCTAGCTGGTGGTTAGGCATGTTAATTTGTCAAAAAAATATGTTAGGAGAATGCTAATAATAAAAGTTAATTGTAAAATAAACCTCCTTTTTTCGCGGTTTGACAATTTAATCCAACCTTTTGAGTAATTGTAAATAAATCTCGACCCTGTACTAGTTGGTCACAAACTCGTTGTTGATCGGAGACCATCTTATTACCAGCGTGGCTGACCATTTAAGATGATGTGGCAGGCCGTTTGGGGCATGATTGGATATGAATTCAACTAACAAAAAACTGATTTTTTCTTAGCTATAGTTGAGTTTGAAAAAAGTTGGTATGGTTAGTTGTTAGTAGATATATTAAAATAATATTTAAAATAAAATAATTAAAGTTGACTTAATATAAAAGTAGAAGAAAATGATTGAAAGTGATAGTTAGTTAAAATTATGTGAGTGGGATGAATAGTGAATTAAAGTTGATGTGACCCCTTGCGCCAAATTTGCTATGAAGATGCCTAAACAGGAGTTTTGCTGGGCAAGACTCGAGCGGCAAGTTACTTTATGTCTATACTTGCAATTTCGTCTGCGAGAGATTCCACTTAAACTTAATCATCATCATCACTTATTATTTTATGTTATGCCGACCCCAACTTTTAGGATCCTCTTATATACATAGCTTTTAGGACAGCTATAGAAAATAAAGAAGAGTCCAGGTGCTCCGGCGAGCCTCCGATCACCACCAACCACAACAAGGTGAACCAGCTCCCATTTTCCCTCTGTCTTTCAAACTTTGACTTCACTTCGCTTCGTTCGTTCCCTCAACTCAGAGAAAGTTTGACTAGTTGGATTAGACTTCCCTTGCGTCAACGCTGGGGGAATGGGGAAGGCTCGCGTATTCCTATTCTTGTTATGGGAGACTGTCCCTCGCGGCGAAAAAGGAAAGACGCAAAAGCGCCCGAATGCTCCGATCCAGGAAGCAACCCAGCGGAATTAATAAGCTTGGAACCAACCACCGTCGGCGTTGTATGATGAATCTCCATATCCACACTGAGTTGACAAAGGAAAGAAAGAACAGAAAGAATTTTGATCCTGGAGATGGTACAGATCATACATCCTCTATTCTATTTTATTGTGAGTGAGTGGGACATTCTAATCTTTCTTTGAGTTATACCCGGACTAGACTCACTCAGGTTGAGTTGAGGGTCGATGTAATTGAGCTTCAAAGCTCGATCGACGGGAAGGGACCGAAGCGTACATACAAAGATAGCGCTAGTTTCAGAGAGGGGTCCCGGGGCTTCACTTATTCTCCTCTTCGCCCTATCTCAGGATTTGCATCTATAAGACGCGCTTTGGAACTCAACAATGAAAGGACTTGACTGATCGCTGCGCTCGTGAGACTGAACTCAAAGAACAGGACATAAACTCTGGAACCCTGCATCTTTGATCGATAAGACTTGTTATTGAAGACACCAACGGGAAAGGGACAACACTTCTCAGAAACAAACCATATCTCTGAAACCCTTTCAAGAAAGGCCACTTTCGGGGGAGCTAATCCGCTATTCCAGTACTTGAAGCCCTTCCAAAGGAACTGGCACAAGAGATAGAGGCCAGTAAAGGGTCGATGTAATTGAGTAGCTACGCCGCTAACTAGGTGTAAGAATGATTGATTGATATTATTTAATTATATTGATAATATTAGAGATAGTGGAGTTGAGTTAAAGATGAGTTAAATTTGAGTTTTGATTGATTTTTTTTAACTGTAAAATCCATATACAATCGCCTCCTTGATGATTGGAATTATCATTAGGTTAATTACAAAAGAATAACAACCTTTTCATTTTGNAAAATTTGCAAATAAAGACATTAATTTTTCATCAGATTGCAACTCGAACCCGAAAGATAATGTTATTTTCTCTAGGATTATTTGTCCGTATGTATATAGAGATACATCCTACAATACACTCAGGCCGGTAACCTTGGAAGAGTGAGTTTACCACTACAAAAGCATATCATCCCCAACCCAACCTCAAGAAAAAACAAAGAACATAAAAATTTACTTATACCTCAATCACACATTCTCAAGAACCAGCTTAACCCCATTGTTTTTGAGAGCATTGACAATAGCCCACACCTTGGTCCGATTCTGAAGGCCTTTCCTCTCGATCTCCTTGCCAACGTCCACGTAGATTCCCCTACCTTGCCCATTCTCCAGCCCTTCAACCCTCAGCCTCATGGCCAAAACTTCTCCCACCACTGCAGCTGCCTTGGCATTGCACGTGCGACTGCACTCAAGCGTGCTTTTAAGGGCATTCTCTACTGTCGAGGCAGTTGCCACTATTCGCCCATTGTTTCGGTCCACCACATTTGCCGTTATGTACTTTAACGATATGAACATTCTCATCACGTACCTTTTCAGCAACGTCATCTTCTTTTCAATTATTACTAATGCTAATCCTTCCTATTCATCCCAAGGCAACCATGTCAAACTATTCATTTTGCTTTCAATTAGTACAAGAAGACCACAAAAGAAAGAAAAATGTTAGCAGCATTTTTTATTAAAGTGAGAAAAAGAGAGATGAGTTGACATGGGCATTTTATCGAACATCTAAACTGCATTCCATAAGTTATGGAAAAATGAAAAATTTTGCATCTGATTTATTAAAGCCAAACTGTTTCCATTTTTCAGCAACCACCAATCAGTAACAGAAAGAAGAATAGACGGAAAGAGGCGAATAAATGTCAAGAATGAACAAGACTTACCTCGGAGGCTACAGTCAGGTACACAATGCTTGCTATGCTACTGATCAAAGAAAAGAAAAAGAAGTCGATGCTCGTAATAACAAATACTTACTAGGCTTGTGAATCAAATACAGTTGGGACTGGGCCGAGTAGAATAATTACTCATGGGCCTAAAGCCCAAGATAGTGATGGTCAATTCAGCTGTCGAATTGTAACACGCATGTAATCGCAACCGTTAAAATCCCATCCAACGTCCTTAGTTCCTCGCCACGTGTCTCCTCCTACCCAACCGCTCAGCCCTATATATACCTCATTCTAAGGTTTGCGCATCCCAAACCCTTATTCTCGGAGTCTCTCATCAGAACCAAACTCCCCGCTGGCCATACGAAAACCCTAGATCCTCCTTCAACTCGTATCTCTCAGATTTCAAGGTAAGCTTTTCGAATTTTATATTTTTCTTAGTGTTATGTTGAATTGTTGATCTGTGCGATCGGGGGCCTGATTTTTGGTTTTCCGTCAGATGGTGTCTGACGCGAGTAAGAAGAAGGCAGCTCAGAAGAAGGCTGCTGCCGCCGCTAAGAGAGGAAGCAAGGCTGCCGCAGCGGCGGCCTCATCAAAGGCTGCCGCCGCTGAAAATGGCAGCAAAGCCGATAGTTTGGCCAGTGGGGTCGCCGATCTCCATATATCTGATCGGACGTGCACAGGAGTTCTCTGCTCGCATCCGCTTTCAAGAGATATTCGGGTGAGCTCATCGATCTATTATTTTTATTTTTGGTTGTTTAACGTTCTTGCCCGATTGTATACGACAGATTGTTCAGTCTGATTGCATCGAAAAACCTTCTTGTTGGGGAAATGCATAAACTTTGTATGAAGAAACAATGTTAGAAGCATTTATCTTCGCTATGTATGGAAAAAAAAATCCTTTCTCAAGGGATTGCAGTAGATTTGTATCAGTTTTCTTATTTTTTTTAATGTGCCTTTTTGTTTGGTGTGGTAAAAGTTTTAATCATGCCAGAAAACTCTTGTTAAGGAGTTTGCAAATGACTTTATTCTTTTTTGGATTTTAAAAATCTTGTGCCATTTTCAAGATCAGAATAAGGCTAACACTGAAATCTGTAGTGACAAGGTTATAACTTTTGAATTTGTGCTCTTTGAAAGGCTTGAAACTTGTCAATCCAAGTAGTGAAATTCATTCTAGTAGACCATCTTATCATATATTTGAGTGATAGCTTTCGTGTTTCAGATGTGTTAGAAGATAAGCAAAAGTTTAGGTGGTGCTTGTTTGTAACAACTTTCAACAATTAATTTTGGGCATCTTTTGTTTGGTTTCTTTTCTTTCTTTTACTTGTTAATTCTTGATGTGAACATGAGCTAGCAAATCGTGGGAGTTTTGTGCTCATTTTTTCGTTCTTTGTTATAAATTTGAGACCATATATATGATTAGACTGAGTTTAGAGGTGCTACGGATTTTGTGGGAATAATATTTGCTTACAACCCTAATAAGCATAAAACCCTATGGCTATGTTTGGTAAAATAATCTAGCTAATAGTTTATAAGTTTATAAGTGAAGAGTATTTTGATCTTATAGTTGATAGCTTATGGCTTATGGCTTATGGATGTCAAGTTGAATCAACGGGTTTATTTGAAAAGCTATCCAAATAAGCTTATGAGATAAGTTCGAGCTTTTTAAAAAGGTTCGTCCTACCAGACCAAGCTTGAAAATATAAGCTAAAGTGCTTACCAAAATAAGTTTTTGTAATATTAGACCACTGTAAATCAATATAAATGATGCGTTTTCGAAAATTGTGGTCCTGTGGACTGCCCATTACTTTACAGGGACAGCTTTCAATGTTCAGTATATTGTTGCTAGCTTGTGCACCTAGGGAGAGCCTTTTTTGTCCAATTGTATCTCCGTTGTTTAGATATTTCAAGGAAGATAGTTTAATGAGCATAAGCTATCACCTTCTCGTGCAACCATCATATGCAACTATAGGGTTGTTTTTTGTTTTTAAATCTTTTGTTATACAGCAACTTATAAATTGGTTAACTAATGTTACTTGTTTCTTTTGCAGATAGAATCACTTTCACTCACTTTCCATGGTCATGATCTAATTGTGGACTCTGAACTGGAACTTAATTACGGCAGGTAAGTGGGGGAATCATCGACTTGATACTTCAATTGCCATCTATTATTTACATGAAATCTGATGCCTGTTTGCAGACGTTATGGTTTGCTTGGGTTAAATGGATGCGGGAAGTCCACACTTCTTTCAGCAATCGGTTGTCGAGAGCTTCCTATCCCCGAACACATGGATATTTATCACCTGACTAGAGAGATTGAAGCATCTGACATGTCTTCACTTGAGGCTGTAATAAGTTGTGATGAGGAGAGGCTGAAACTGGAGAAAGAAGCCGAAGCTTTGGCTGGACAGGTACAAAAATATCCACACACACACACACACACATTCCAGAATTACGTCTTGTAGATGGCCAGTTGATGAGATATTAACGCTTTTTATATTTTATCACAGGATGATGGAGGCGGTGAAGCTCTCGAGCGTATTTATGAACGTCTCGACGCATTGGATGCATCGACTGCTGAGAAACGAGCTGCTGAGATCTTATTCGGTCTCGGCTTTAACAAAAAAATGCAAGAAAAGAAAACACGTGACTTCTCTGGTGGGTGGAGGATGAGGATTGCTCTGGCAAGAGCTCTTTTCATGAACCCTACTATATTGTTGCTTGATGAACCTACTAATCATCTTGGTATGCTTTTTCTCGTCTATATATCTTTTGATCTTTAAACACTGCTGCTCTTCCAAAAAAAAAACTTATATTTTATTTGATTACAGATCTGGAAGCTTGCGTCTGGCTAGAGGAGATGTTGAAAAAATTTGACCGCATCCTAGTAGTAGTCTCCCACTCCCAGGACTTCCTCAACGGCGTCTGCACCAACATAATCCACATGCAGAGCAAGCAGCTGAAGCTGTACACCGGTAATTTCGACCAATACGTCCAGACGCGCGCAGAACTCGAGGAGAATCAGATGAAGCAATACAAATGGGAGCAGGAGCAAATCGCCTCCATGAAAGAATACATCGCGCGCTTTGGCCACGGCTCTGCCAAGCTGGCGCGCCAGGCCCAGAGCAAAGAAAAAACCCTCGCCAAGATGGAGCGCGGTGGCCTCACCGAAAAAGTCGTTCGCGACAAAGTCCTCGTTTTCCGTTTCGTGGACGTCGGCAAGCTTCCCCCACCCGTTCTCCAGTTTGTAGAGGTAACATTCGGCTACACCCCCGACAATTTAATATACAAAAACCTCGACTTTGGCGTGGACCTCGACTCGCGTGTGGCCCTCGTTGGCCCCAATGGTGCCGGAAAGAGTACTCTCCTGAAGCTGATGACAGGGGATTTGGTTCCGTTAGACGGCATGGTGAGGCGGCACAATCACCTGAGGATTGCGCAGTTTCACCAGCATTTGGCGGAGAAGCTTGACATGGACATGTCTGCCCTTCAGTTCATGCTGAAGGAGTACCCAGGGAATGAAGAGGAGAAGATGCGGGCTGCTGTGGGCAGATTTGGGCTTACGGGTAAGGCCCAAGTGATGCCGATGAGGAATTTGTCGGATGGGCAGAGGAGTAGAGTGATATTTGCGTGGCTGGCGTGGAGGCAGCCACACATGCTGCTGCTGGATGAGCCGACTAACCATTTGGATATCGAGACGATTGATTCCTTGGCTGAGGCGCTTAATGAGTGGGATGGGGGTTTGGTGCTCGTTAGCCATGATTTTAGGCTGATAAACCAGGTGGCGCATGAGATATGGGTTTGTGAGAATCAGGCGGTGACGAGGTGGGAAGGTGATATTATGGACTTTAAGGAGCATCTCAAGGCGAAGGCTGGCTTGGCTTGAATTTTTCTGTTTTAGATGTGTGTGGTGTGACTGCCAGGTTCCGTTATCGCTTCCTCTGACTGCCAGGATCATACATATACTGTGAGGTGTAGGAACTGAATGGCGGTTTTATGTGGGGGCTGTTTGTTAACAGTCAGGTAATATTTGGGGGGACTTTGGGCCTTGAGGGGCGGAGTCCTATGTGAGGGGTTTATTTGAGAGATTTGTTTTATCTGATATTTGCTCAAACTCTATAAGATAGATATTTTTTTTTTGTTTGGTGGGACTTTGTGATCTAATGAGGTCACGCATCTATATGAACAATTTGCTTTTGAGTGGTGCTTTTATATTGGAATTATTTCTTCTGTGGTTACATTGGCAGCATGCTTCCACTTGAGATAAGATTATGATATTCTGCTTGGGAATTGATTAAATAAAAGTTACGCTTGCGCTTATCGTTAGCTCAACACGGTACGAGGGCTTAGATAAGTCCAGGAGGAGGTTCCATTGAAGCCAAAAATTTCCATCCACTTATTTTAATGCATTTATTTATTTTAAATCAACAAGTGATTTATTTTTATTGATATGCTACTCTTAGTACTAATATCCATTTTATTTGAAAATATTATCAGAAGCAACGTAGGTTCATACCAACATTTTATGATTACGACCGTGAGAACTATACACAATTCCGAGGCTGTTAATCTTAGTCAAGAAGAAAAAGTTCCCTCGCAATTTTCATTTCTTTTCAGCTAAACGCTAAGAATCACTGTGTTTTACGTTTTTAGTTCTTAGTTTTCAGTTGTTCTTAGAGAAATTACACCTCGTTTAAACCAAACAGCTGATAATTCCTGTCGAGAAAATCCAAAAAGAAGAGAGAAAAACAAAACATAAAAGAGACAATTTAACTTCCAAAAAACAAAAACATAAATATCTCATAAGTATCTCATCATTCCAATCTGTTTTATCTTGCATTGTTTGTATTTTGATTACACCGAAACAAACCAAAAAGGGAGATGGTCCTCTTGACACGAAATTGTAGCAGGATAAAAACAAGAATACGGTACCCAACAGCCATAAGAAACAGTATCAGTAAATTTCCCCACTTTGAATTTGCATCGGCTGATATGTCGTACGAATTTTGCAGCGCTTCGTAACCGGTGATTGATCTTACCTGGCCAACGGCAAAAGATGTACCAATATACTCATTCTCCAAAAGCCCCTGAAAGCCAAGGTGAATTTCAGCTAACATTTTTATGAAGCATTTATTTGTAGCCACGACATATAAATAACCTACAACTTAAAAAGAAAAGTGAAAAGGGAACACAATCTTGGGGATGAAATTTTATCTCCGGTCCTCTTAACTAAAAGGTAGTCAGAAAATAGTCCAGTTTCAATATGAAAACTCAATAAAGGTCCTGATTTTACCCAATGAGACACATGCATGATTCCTAATTTTCGCTTTCTTGATGAATTATAGATGCAAAAAAAGAGGACCAACTTGCCTGAATAGAGTAAGTATGGAAAGCAATGTATGAGATGGGATACATCCATACTGGCCTCGTCAGAGAACTACGAATCCTGAAGTACCCAGCTGAAAGCATCNTAAAGTTTGACAAAGGAAAAATAATAAAGAAATAAATTATAGGTCCAATTACAAAAACTAACGTGAGGTTCAGCCTAATTATGAACAGCTAGTGTATAATATACCATCAGTCTGACTAACAACAGAAGATTTCTATTGGTAAAATTTTTTATTGAAAAATGTACGTTTTAAGTGAAATATCATGGTTTTCAAAATGATGGGTATATTTCACAATGCTCAGGAAAGTATGATAGTTGACCCAATTAACTTCGGAATTTGCGAGTATCCTCTGGCATTTGTTACTCTTTTACCACATTTCACTCGTGAGGGGAGGTATTTGTTAGGTAAATACAAACCTTAGGGATGTCATAGTATAATCCTTCAAGGGTGGTAATTGTAATATTCAAAGATAACTGGAGTCTTTCGTAAACAGGCTAATCCTTGTTGGTATTGTTTTTCAGTTATTCTGCTCATGAGGTTTTGTATAACTGGGATCCCCTTGAGGTTTATTATTACCTTACCAATAATGCCTCTTGAGGATGTACTTTGGCAATAAAAAACATGCCAGGGGCATATTTGCAATTCCGAAAGAAACTAAAACAGAAAAAGACAATTATGCTAAACCTCATAGGTAACTCTGGAAATAAAACCCAAAAAAATCAACAAAAGGAAGGCAAAAGAAACACAAAAGATTAAGTCTTTCTAAACCATGGATAAATTGATCTCAGCACTTACATGTGCAGTCACCAATATCAAGATACTCCGGAAGATATTCCGGCAAAAGGACGCAACAAGCAGCACGAGTCCCTCGTTGACGAGAAGGCACATGAAGAAATTCAGCACAAAATATATCAACAAGTGGAACTCATCACGTAGGCCGATAAGGAAATAGAAGACCAAACTCGAGGAGACTGAGAGGAGAAGTAAAAACGGGATACTGGACAAAAGTTGCCCGATTAAGAAAACAAATGTCCCCGAATGCTGGTTCGCCTCTTCACAGGAGTAAATCTGTGCATAACAGTGGTGATTTGATTAAAATGTTGATGACATCGTGACGTGAGATTTTAATAAATTTTAATACAGGGAAACAGAAAGTTTAATTGAACTCCCGACTAAAAATTTACAGGAATGAATAATATGTAATTTTTGTTACCTTGATTTCTTTCAATTGCGCGGGGATGCCGGCTATACTCAGAAGTGAAGTGAATGCCACGAATGTAAATACAGCTCCAACTCTAGCCTGCAGCTCAAAGATTGCACCAAAATGAAAAGGGAATAAAGAAATTATCATGAATGACATCTATAAAAAGAGTCCAATTCCTTCATTACATGTCAATATCTCTTTTTATGGATAAGAACACTGGTTAACAGATAAAACGTTGAAATTTAACATATCATTATAAGTGAGGAAGAACTCAAGCATAAGAATGAGATAGTAATGATACACATATATTATATGAGATTATAATTGTAAAGTGTTTGCAAAAGCCAAAAGCTTTTAGAAGAAGCGGCCATCTTGTGGTACAAGTACCAATATAAGAATTACATGTTGAAGTTTAGGTAGTTAATAAATAAGTATGAATAGAATAACTATTATCTCCAGTTGAATAAGTTAGAGCACCCAATGGCTCAAAATTAATTGAACACATCATTCAATAAAGAGTAACCAAAAAAACATACAACTTAATTGCTGCGAAAATACAACTTACTCCAACTGAAGATAAAGAGTGCCCCAAACCATAGAACACGGTACCAATACATAGAGCCAGGAAAATGTAAAGAAACAAGCGAAGCCAATAATATTTCCACTCCCTTGACATAATCAACAATGATCTCCAAGTCAATATTCCAATTTTTGTGAAACAGCTTGCTTTGCCTTTGCTCTTGAGAAATGGACCTTCCTGTAGCCATACACAAACATAAAGAAATCGAGTATCTAGATATAAACGATCCTTGTATTGGTCTTAGCTGCATATCTAGAGAAATAAAGGGACATTGTTGATGAAATTTACGGAAAATTCCCTTTTTTTTTTCTGGATAGATGCAAATTGCAATGTCTGGACAGAGAAAAAAAAAGCTGCATTATGATTAATGGCAGTAGTGACCTACCTTCTCTGTAAGCTTCAAAATCATAGTCTCAACAGCAGCTGCATCTGCAGATGATTTATATGTAGCTTCGAGAGTGCGAATTGCAACGGCAGTGTCCATATTAACTGCTGAAAGTTCTCCATGGTCATCCTGTAAAAATCACTCACTAATTAATATTCACATACAAAAAAATCCATATAAAAGGAAATATGGAAGGAATCTATATATCACCTTATTACACCTAAACAAACAAGATATACTAAATTCAATTATTGTGAGTCATACAAGAAAAAAAAAAAAACAATTATTCTGCAGAAAATTATTCTGTAGTGGCAGCCTAATCAGCTAGATATATAACCCATCTCATGAGATAGTTTATCCACCTGTCATGGTAGGAATTTAAAGTAAAATACCTGCCAATTTTTGCACATTGCAATAATCCTGTCAAAATCTGTATTTATAGCTCTCAGAAAGTGATCGGATGGACTCTGCATTATTGGGCAAGGAAATCCAGCATTCGAGAAATGCTACAAAAACAAGGCAATGAATTAAATGCATCTCAATGTAAAGCCACATGAAAAATGAATAAAAGCATCACCACTTTAAGTAAATCTATCATCTTAACTTCATCAGGATCTCAGTGATCATTTTTAAGCATGTACTCAAAAACTTTAAGACTAGGATCCTCTTTTTGAGTGACATCACAATCATTTAATAATATGAAATGGTGATAAATTGGTAGAAAGATGACTTAAATGCTTACTGTAACAGATAAACCACCAAGCTTATACTAAATAAACTTCACGTTCAGGAGATTCGCATTTCAATTTAATTATTACCTGCAAACACGCAAGTGTTTCCCCGAAAAACAACGTGTTTCCACTTGAAAGAAGACAAATTCGGTCAAAAAGGCCAAACACTTCCGTGCTGCTTTGGCAAATGGTGAAGATGAGAGTGCAGCCTGTACTCGCAAGCTTCTTCAGTGTAACCATCATAAGAAGTGCAGATACACTGAATATGAAAATAAATTGGTTAATTAATAAGAAATTTTTCCCAGAAAATGAAATAAGGAAAATCAACAAGGCTTATGAATTCATTTAAGACACTGAACAGGTAAAGGCTATAGTGGGAAAGTGCTTGCAAAAATTAGATATACAATTATGTAATGTATCGGCTATGCATTGAACGCACACTGCACACTCGTTGATAAAATTAGTTACCCAAAATATCATTTATAACAAATGAATAATTGTCATGTCAAAAGAACGATTAGGTAGGGCTTTATGTTAGTACATTGCTAGAATCATCACAGTAAGGAGTAAATAGAACAGAAAACATCCAGTGGAGTAGAGATAAAACTTTGTTTTTAATTAATTATTCTTCCAAGGTTCAGATGATCTAAGACTCCAATAATTTGTAATCAGAGAATAATTAGCAGGATTTTTCTCCTGTTATAATCATCAAGAAAAGCAAAACGCAGAGTAAAAGTCAGTTAACCATTCAAAATGTTCTCTATATGCCAACTTCATAAATAAGGCATGTATAGGACCAACTACTTAAAAATTTATACTGGTCTTGTTTGGCCATTAGCTGATACAGGATAGCGGATTGTAATAGCTGATTGTATGGTAAATAATTGTTTGTATAGTTATTTTGGAAATATTATGTTGACATGTTAGAATCATCTCTTCTCAAAACGCTCCTAGATTGAGTTTTCTCAAAATTAACGTTTTGGGCTAAAAAAACTAATCAAATAAGTTCTTTATCAAACAAGCTAGTAGATGACTTAACGGGTCGAACCTCTAAATGAGGTTCAATCCGCTAGTTTTACATCAGTACTCTATCATAAAAAAAGCAACTAAATGATCCATTGACACCAATAAAACAGAACTTTTGATGGAGTTGAAGTGCAATTGGAAGTTAACAAAACCAAGTTTCTCATCCACCCATCAAAAATACATTATTCATGTTTCTCACTTTTTCACTTCTCAAATTTTGAATATAACTTTAATATTAAAATCAATCATTACTTTCTTTATATAATTTACCCTTCATCGATTCATATATTAATAACCGCCAATCATCATTTTACTATTTTCCTATCAAGTCACAATTAAATGTTACTCTTCGTATTACGTTACTTCACATTATTAAAATCATTAGTTCTTTCACTAATTCTTCTTTCGACAGGAAAAAAAGATTCTAAATAAAAAAATATATCTAATTGCACCCCCTTAAAAATAACAAATCTTGGAATATACTTAATTATATTGAAAAGAAAAAAAAAAATTAACAAACAAAGCATGTTCCAAGACAAGGCATTGAACTAGGAAGAAACTTCTAGTTCAAGCCTAAAGCCGACAATCCTATCCAACAAAAGATAAACCTAATGACAGTCGATAGTCTATTTAAATAGGGAAATGCTACATTTTTTTATTTTTATTTTCTTTGATATTTTCACTTGTGTTGTCAACCTAGTTGTACACTCGGTTGGCAATGTATCATTTTCCATTTAAATAAAATCTTAACCCTAAATATAACCCTTATGGATATTCTACGTCAAAGAACCCAAAAGCCCAATTATTGAATGAAGCCTATGGGCAGAAAAGCAGTTATTGAATAAAATGAAATAAAATAAAAATGGATTCATAACAACTTTCTCACCCAAGTGCATCTACAGACAAAAGCAAGGATACTGAAAGCCTCACACCTACAAATTACACATTCTCACCCTTTTCGTCTAGACATGAATGAAAACACAATGCTAATATAATATACACAGTAAATGAAAAACTTTTAGTCTATACACAGAGCAAATAAAAAACTAGAAAGAAACCTGTCGAGATGGTAAAGAGGCTCATCAATAAACAAGATTTGGGGTCTCATCACAAGCTCCCTGGCAATTGCGATCCGCCTTCTCTCGCCACTCGGAAGGCCCTTCAAATGACAGTGCCCGCCTACTAGCTTATTCGCATAATCTCCCAATGACATGGCAAGAATGGCATCCTCGACCCCGCTGCTCTTCCTAGAAAGGAAGCCCGGAAGCTGAAGCAAGGCTGAGTAGTAAAGGTACTCGCGCACGGTCAAGGATTCAATAAGTGTGGTTTCTCTATCCACAAATCCCTAAAGCAATAGCAAATAATAACTTCTAGTTAAAGTGGGGTCGTGCATAATTGCCTCATAATACATTGCAGCTTTGAGAATTAGAACACACAACAAAAACTCTATTTCCCTTTTTCGGGATAAGAAAAGGAAGAATACTTTTTCTTAAGCATTAATAACACAGCAAAATGCCAAACACGCACTCCAAATATGGACCGAACTGTCTGACGTTACCATTAATTTCCACACATTCTATTACTCAATCCTCACTTGGATGATAATTAGTGGAAGTAAAAAACATGTGCAAGAACACATCTTAATTACAATTCAATTTCAACCAGCAAAAAATCCTACATCAGAGTATGGCACCTATTCATCTTAGCTGTGTTCAAAATTAGATATGGAGGTTCCACAACTGCAAGGTCAATAGACACAGATATACTAATAGAAGAGCTTCCTGTACCATGATGGTTTCAATAAAAAATGTAAACCATAAGACAATTTTTTTTCCCAATTTTTATAATATTAACAGATCATTCTAAATCACTATGAGATGATTCAAAGTTCAATTATTCAGCTTCCAACTCAAGTTATCTACTTGGGGTAAATAGTATTAGAGGTATAAATACAAAATAATTTCCTTTGGCAAGCCAAAAGTATAGGGGTTACTATAAATAGTTGAACGCCTCCAATCACTTGAATCATGTAGAAAACACTGAGCAGTAAACAAAATTTATACCAATTTTGCGTTACAAGAACCCCATATTGATTGTTAATATAATGTTTACTTTTACGAAATGCTTGAACCTAGAAAGTACATAGGGCAAGAATAATTTCAAACAGCATCCGAATCCTTAAAGTAATATGATGCAAACATAGGATTACAGCATTCCAAAACTGTCCCAAGTTTCCTTCCGACGATATTCAAATAGACAAAATCAGAGTTCATTTTGTTTGGTGAGTCTTGAACTGAGAAACATAGTCTAAACACAAGCAAACACCGCGAGACATTTTTCGCTTTCTACAGCCCACCACTTATTATTCATTGAGTTCTAAACTCTAGCTCGTTATAATTACCAACATTCACATATGTTTCACAAGTTTAAATACATACCTATGCATTCATACGCAACAAGTCAAAGAAATCAACTGCAGAAAGCACAATACCGAGTTTCTTTCCCTAAAACAAACACATTCACTCAACACCAACAATCATAACCCGGTTTAGATGACACGTGGAATCAATAGTAAACTTACGTAAGCCCCATACGGTATTCGTGATTTCACGCCATTTACAAGAACCTCACCGTAAACTCTAGCCGAATCAGGCAATCTTCCTGAATAACGACAAAATCAAATCAGAACACAAGAATTTATTTATTAATCCAAACAAAAACCATACATCCTCCTAAAAAAGTAATCCACTACTACCAAACCTGCAAGAGCCCTCAAGAGCGTGGATTTTCCAGACTTGGGGGGGCCCATAATCACAGTCATTGTGCCCGGTAGCCCATAACCATTCGAGCTCTTGATGACCCTATCTGAATACTTCCTTTTTCCCTTTATATTAACAGTTAGGTCCCTCCACACAATTGTTACCCCTGCTGCCTTTCTCAGAACAGCTGCTCCCTCGGGCAGTGGAGGAGAAGGCAAAGAGCCGCTGTTGAGCTTCGAGAGAGAAGGAGAGCCCGGTGTAGTGGCTGTGTTAATGGAGTCAGCCCTGCCCTCATCAATTTTGACTTCAATGTCAGTGTCTTCCCAGTCAGGTGAGTCCTCGAACGAGATGGGCTGCCTGAGAGCACCGGGTTTTCGGAGGTAGAAGAAATTGCCTGAAGGTACTCTACTTGTTGGGCTACTCGCGGATGATGATGAGGACCTGTAATGGTCTGATTGGGATTGTATTTCTTCCATTTTGTTTGACTTTTCCCTCCAATTCTGTTTTTTTTTTTTTTTTTATGTTTCCAGTTTTCTTGGAGAGGAACCTAAAACATTTTCCATACACCTTTTATTGAGGAGTCATTGGTAATGAGGAGCTTATTTTGAATCTGCAGCCTCGAGTTTAAGAGAGGTTAGTTGGGTTGGATAGATGAATCTGCGGAAGCAAACATTTGGGTGAATTGGAAGTGAAGGAAATGCGATAAAACATAAAAGCAGTCTTACGAAGAGGTAATATGAAATCATGTGATGATGCTAATTGCTGCATCATAAAATCAACAGGAGATTCTTCAAAAGAAAATGGGGCAAAGGAACTAACAGATGATTTGTCCGCTTGAAAGTTGAAAAAAAATGACAGTTTCAACCCTCAAGTGACAGAACTTCTGAAGAATCTTATGCTAAGTCAAAATCCCACCATTCAAGAACCTTTATTTCACAAACTTCTGTTGGAAAACACAGTTCTTGCATCAAATGAATATTCAGAGCAACAAGGGCAGCACATAGTTCATTTCTTAAAAAAATCCAATCAAGGTAAACAAACATATGACAGAGTGAAACTGTTAACCAAGTTATCAACTTTATCAAATTTCACCACCCAGTACTCGCGAACCCAAATGCTCAGAGGAACTCCACAACAAAAAAAAAAAAAAAAGGAAAACACACACCCAGCTCCATAGATTAAGACAGAACAACATCTTGCGATTCAAAAAGGAAGAAGATTCAAATTCACAATAGAGTAACAGCACCAGCACTTTAGGGATACCTCAGGCGAGCTGCCAAACCTCGCAGATGCAGTAAAGCTAGAGCGAGAGGAAAGGACTCCAACTTAAGAAGTGAGAGTGACAGTGTTAGATAGAGAGGGATATAGCAGAGGATGGATCTGGGCTTCGGAATGAGAAGTGTTAATGGGGGAATAACAAGGGAGTAAAAAGGAAAAAAGCAAAGAGACAAGAATCAGAAAAAGGGGGCGACACAGTACTAAGTAGCCTGTATGAGTGAGTGAGTGACACCTGATATTACTTACTAGTTAGTAGTTACTATTGGACTATTTAGCAATATTAGTTTCATTTTTTTGCTCCAAAAAATAAACACAATTATTTGACTAATTGTTTTGTTGGATATTTAGCCGTTCTTCTCAATTTCTTCACTTTTAATTTCTTTTTTCTAGAAAACTTAGATGTAGTGAAGTTTGTCTAGGAACTGGAAAAATGAAAAAAAAAAGAAGAAAAAAAAAAGAAAGAAAAGAAAGAAAGAGAAGTTAAAATTCTATAAGTAGGGCTCTCTATGCCCAATTAAAAGAAATATGTTGTGCTATAAATGTCTGCATAAAGCCTTATCATTACACATGGAGTTAAATATAAGCTAGTTGAAATTGTATTGGTAGCATGGGATTTACTACTTGAGCCTTCAGAAGGTCAAAATCAAGTCTTTTTATATGTGTATCCAACTTGAGCATAAATTGGACTTTAGCCATCTTTACATTTCAATACATTTATTCACAATGTATATGGGGTAGGATTTGCAATTTTCTGGTGAGTACAAGATATTATTGGTGTAGATATAAAGAATATCACTTTTCATAACTAATATATTTTTTTTCGAGTTTAAGTGAGATTTAATGAGAATGAAACATAATGAAATAAGTAATAATAAATTTATAGCATTGGATATGATGAAATTAAAATTTAATAGATGACAGCCAAATAAGTGGTGGCAATATCGTAAACGAGGGTACATATCATGGTCAAATGTGTACATATAACCATTCAATAAGGGTCATCCACCCACTAAATGAGCCCCACCCTAATCCCAACCCTCTTTCACACACACGCACATAATACACACATA